CTCACCACTGGTCCTGAAAGGAGTCATCTGTCCTGGATTCCCTGTGTTTCCAGTTGCTATCAGTACCAGTGTACATCCTCTGGTCTAGCCAGATTTGTAAGGTAGAATTGGGATCATGATAGTGGGGGGGTCGGGAAGGGGAGGAAGCATTTAGGAACTAGAGGAAAGTTATATGTTTCATCGTTGCTACCCTGCACCCTGACTGGCTCATCCCCTCCCCACGACCCTTCATTAAGGGGGTGACCATTTGCCTACCGATGGGCTTTGAGTCTCCACAGCAGCCAAGTATTTTGACCATTGTTCCATAAGGACTGCTAGATCAAGCCAAATCCTATAGAAATTAAGTGGTTAGAAAAGACTCCAGTATCAGAAGATGGCTAATCTGATTCTTTTATACCATTTCTTATACATGTCAGTGAATTACTTTTTAAAATATTGGACCAGGTGATCCAAGTATAGGAGTAGTAGATGATGACAGCAAACACGGCATGTTTAGAGACTTCCTCGGTAATCACTACTCAAAAGGACAATTCTCATACTGATATTTACTAAGAGTATCTTTGGGTCAGGTATACTCATTCTTCAAGTCTACTTCCAATGTAATTGTCATTTCCATCCTCATTACATCTTACGTTCATCCTCATCACAGCAGTGAGGTGGATTGTTGCTATTACTTAAGAAAGATGACACATCTCAGAGGGGAGAGGTCTGATTTTCCTTAGACATATCACTTGTTTGTGGGCTGCTGTGTGGATAATGAAATGTTACCACAAGCCAGCAGAACAGTGCATAGAATTAGAAAAGGCTTTCAACTGTACGTTAACCATAGCTACTGTTTGGATGCTTTTTCTGTGTGCCTTCTACTAAGTGCTTTTACCCGTGTTATGTAACTGCACAAGGAGCACTATATTATACCCCTATTTTCAGATCGGCAAACACATAGTGGGAGGTCAAGTGGTCAGAGTTTTGCCGGAAGCCTGAGCCCACACTCTGAACCACTCTTCTGTGGCTTTGCCACAGGCCTTCTTCCCCTCCAGCCAAAGAGCTGAGTTCCCAGCTCTCAGCTGTAGAAAAGATGTAAAGTGTTTGAATGGACACACTTAATTTTGTCCCCTCCCTCTGAAAAATAAGGGTGTGTGTGTGTGTGTGTGTTACTGTTATTTTTGTTTGTTTAAAACTGATTGTGACCTAATGGTAACCTTTCTGCTTTCTTCAAGCCTCTCTATGGATTACTTCAAGCAAAACTTCAACTCATTACACATGCATATTTTGAAGAAAAGGATTTTTCCCAAATTTCCATTCTAAAGGTACCTTTATACCTCTTAAACAAATTCAGGAGGCAAGGAGATCAGTGATATGGGAGGAGATAGTCACTTGATTGCTTTGGAAAGACATTCTGCTTTGTTTTGAGGATTACAACTACAGCTCTATAGTAAAACTGCCTTGTATTAGGAAATAGTGACTACAAGTTACTATGGCATTAATCAAAAACCAATCCAGTGTCATCAAGCTGATTCCGACTCATAGCAATCCGATATCATTCCCAAGACTGTAAATCTTTCTAAGAGCAGGCAGCCTCATCTTTCTTGCTCAAAGCAGCTGGTAGGTTTGAATTACTAACCGTGAAGTTAGCAGTCCAGTGCCTAACCTACAGTGCTACTATAACATCAATGTTCCTCTTAATGGAAAAGAGCCCTTTTCCTATGCCACTTGAGTCTATAAATTTGCTTATTTTATTAATAAATGCAATATTCATATATCAACCTTCTGATTCCCAGTTTCCGTAGTTAAACCAGGTTAACCACATGACTGTTCCACTGGGAGTGGGCAGCATGTTCCTCTCAAGTGTACCATGAGTGTGCAGAACACGAGCCTCTCCTGGATTCTTTTCTGAACCTCATGAGAGGCAGTGAGGTATTCATCAAGAAGGGGAGGGAGTTTATCCTTGACTCCTGTGCCACCAGCTGAACGTATGAAGTTCTGAAATCTGATGTGGAGGCCCTTCTGCCCAGCAGAATACCCTTCTGCCCAGATCTCCTTGGAAATGCCCCATGTCTCAAAAGGAAGGAATGATGCTGAAAATATTGAGGCCACACAGGTATCTTGAGTGTTTCTCAATGTAGGACCTAGCAAGACAATTTGCCACACTTAAGGAACCATTTTTTCCCTTGACCATCACACTTCTAATTTATCATCTGAAACTGTTTCCCAAAGTGGGCAATACAGCCCTTTGGGGGACGCTGAAATGTTCCAGAAGGGCTGCATACACAGATACCTGGACTTTATCCTGGATTAATCGCCTTAGGGGCACTAAGAAATTTGTTCTAAGGATGCAATAGGCCAAGTAAGTTTGGGAACCTATGCAGTTTTAAGTGTTAAAAATGTCCAAAACTGAATTTATTATGTTTTAGGAGCTTTACGAACATATGAATAGCTCCCTGGGAGGAACGTCATTAGAAGGTTCCCAAGTATACCTTGGTAAGTAATTCTGAATTATTTAATCAGAAAAGGCACCCTCATTTCTTTTTTTAAGCAAACAATTGCATGTGAAACTTCCTGATCAGAATGCATCCACATATAGAATCTAAATTCTTCAGTGTTTGATGCTGCTATTGCCTTTCCACACTTTAAACCGTATATTTAGAAAGATTACTACAAGGCTAGTCTCATTGAACTGGAGATTCAGAAGGCCCCAAAATGACTTTTCCATAAGCTATGCCACTCCATCGTCTCTAATATGAAAGCCCATCCTTCCGCTCAGTGCACTCCCTCATGTCCAGAGCTCTGAAGTCCCCTGTGATATCTCACAGACTGATAAGGAAATAGCTCCCATTGTTATGGAAGCTGAAAACTGGATCTGAAGTTCAGACATCCTCAGGAGGTGGCTCCTCATCCGCAAGGCTGGTCAAATCAGGGCAGGTGATAGGACACCACTCACGTCTCAAGAACCTATGGAAATAATGAGTGACTCATGCTCACTCAGTTCTATTTCAGAGGTCAGAGAGGCACGCTAGAGGCAGGCTTATCACAAGGGTGGGAGACACCTTTGGGGGGGAAACCAGACCTCACTTGCTTAAACAGGCTCAAAGCATGCTGGGACTCATGTTAAGGTGCTACCTGAGTCCTGAGCCAGCAGCCTTTTTCAGGTGGTAACTGGCATCTGATTAGTGTTTATAACTCAGTGTTAGTCTTCCACACATGCTCAGTAGGGGAAGGGGTTGCAAAGATGGCATTGATTTAAGTGTGGTTTTGTGCTTTCTGCAGACCACACCCCCAAGGGAACAAAGGACCATGACTTGAGTCACATCCTGTAGTAAGTTGGGGACACAGAATACTATCTGCCTCATTAGCATAACATGACTCTCCAAAATGAGAATGTAACCACACATACAGAGGCTAGAATATACAACACATCACAAAGGGGCGGACTTTGGTTAGAAAGAAGGACCACATTTCGTAATTAACTACATCTCAATGAGAATTGAGTTAGAGAAAACTAACTTCTTAATATTTATGTTGAGAAGCATTGCCATAACTAACATACTTGTACTATTTGTACAGAGCTATTATTGCACAAAGTTAATTTCTTCTTTCAAAGTAGTAAAAAAAAAGTTGAGTTTAATAGTGTTGTTTTCTCTTATCAAGTAATGCTGGTGAGCTTTAATGTCCATAATAGCAGAGAAGGAGAGCCAGACCGAGAGATCTGTTCACCTCTTTCCTGTTCAAAAAGTCTTCACGTTGGGAATTTTGTCTAGTTCATGCTACATTGAACCAAGACTACACATTGATGAGAACTCAAAAAATATATATTTCTTGATTAAAACTTGACAGTTTTAATCACATAGTGACTTAAGTTCACGCAGTTTCTATTTCAGAAGGAAGCGGCCCTCACTGTGCTAGTTCACATCTACAGACCTGTGTGCGATCTAAGATAACTTCAAAGTTCCTGTTCTGGAATGTAGTTTCTCTAAACCATTGCATTTTGTCCTATATGGTGTTTGAGGCAAATGACCATGGAAGACATGATTCAGAAATAATAGCATAGAGTCTCCAAAATCCCCAAACCTGCCGTCAAGTCCATTTGACTCATAGCTGCCCTTTGGAGCGGTTCTGAGACTGTAAATATTTTCGGAAGCAGACAGCCTCACCGTTCTACTGCAGAGCAATGGGTGGTTTTGAATGCCAACCTTACCTGCCAACACCGCCACGGCTCCTTAGAGTACAGTGACCAAAAACTTTGACTTAAATGACTGCCACTCTCTGTAATATCATTTGTATAGAGAAGGGGAATGGGTTAGATGTGCACCATGCAGAGTAGTAGCCGCTAGCCAGGGTGGCTATTTACACTTAAATGAAAGTTAATAAAAATAGAATTTTAAAATTTCACTTATTAGTAGAACTTGCCACTTTTCAAGTACTCATTCACCATGTGTGGTATAATTGAACAGCGCAAATAGTGAACATTTTTACCATCAACAAAGTTGTGTTATTGCCAGTGCCAAGGCAGCTCATGGGAACTTGATAAACGCTGAGGGGGTGTGTGCTTCATCAAGTATTACATGTGTGTCTGAGTAGTTTTATAATAATACTTTCTTTTTATCATGCTGTCCTTTGAAGGGGGGAAACTCTAGCCCAGGCGGTAGACTGTATTTACAGAGTAGCTTTTTTGTTACTATTACAGGTCTGTCTCCTCGAGATCTTGTCCTTCATTTTAGGCACAAGGTAAGGTAATCTTAATTGATTCATAATTAGTGCAGTGGTGCATGCTGTCTTAGTGTCCTCCTTTCACTGGGCAGATTCTATGTGCTAAGTGGTTAAACACAGACAATAGCGTGATTGTGTTTTACTTTTTCTGAAACAGCACTTGGCCTCGTAACTGTCACTTTGAAAATGCTGTGATAGTGCCAGTGTGCTTTCTAAAAGTTGATGAATACCAGTTTGTCGCTTTGCAGAATGGGCATTATTTCTATTGTCTCTTTAGTTACCCATGTCATGAGTGGATAGAAGCAGTCCTACAGAGTATCGTATATGTTGCCCTGAGTGGAACATTTCCTAGTAAATATCTGTATTTATACTTACTGAGCTTTGAAAGGAAGGTCTGTGTGGACTCGGACACACACATGGATCATTTGCTGAACAAACACTTACTGACTGGCTGAGATGTGGACAGCCAGAAGCAAGAGAGCAGTCCCTGCCTTTTAAGGAGCTCACACACATTTCACACAAAAGTGGTACCACTCTTTCCAAAAAACAAAATTTCAAGACATTTAAGTACTTCTCAATTTTGTTTTTAGAAAACACAGGTGATACTTAATTTTATCAGTGTAAGTTCACATTCTTTCATGTTTTTAAAGCACTGTAATAATATTACTTAAATGATACATCCTTATCTTTGAGGAGGGAAAGAGGAAAATGAGAATAAGAAAAAAGGAATTGCATTCTTTTAATAAAACTTCTTTCTGCAGGTCTTAATCCTGTTTAAACTGATTCTTCTTGAGAAAAAGGTAAGATTTAAAGAGATAGAAGGCAAGATTGAATATTTAACAGTTATTGATATATCTTTAATATTACATAAAATTGATAAAATATTGATTACGCTTCTTGCCTTTCAAATTGGGGTGCACAAAGACCCATATTTTTGTTCACTGCTATAGATGTTTGTATTCATGCAGTTTTTCTCAGGGAAATTTCAGAGTAGATTGAGGATAGTTTTAACTACAGGTAGTTACTCAGTGTCCATGACAGTTACTACGTATATATTTAGTTTGTTTTTTTGCTATATGTTTTTATTCATTCATTGGTATTGGATGCAAGGCTCCTCTCTACGTCCAGCACAGCATTAAAAAAATAGTTTCTCTGTATAAACATAAGGCAAGTTACAGTAACAGCATAATTTTAATAATGACAAATTATAAGTAGATGGCTAACTCATAATTTATATATTGTATATAGCTCTAACTAATAATTTTTATGTTGCTGGGAATATTTATTGTTGTATAATATTTAAAGTTGTTTCATGACAAGTTAAATAAGCCCGTTTATCCAACTACATATCAAAACCACAATACCAATTTTATGAATATATATTCAACGTCAAGCCTCTGGAAGTGACAGACATCAGCATAATTTGATGAAAATATAGGTCATGTTTTTAAAAGGAAGTAATTCACCATATTCTGGTAGTTTTCTGGAGTAAATATATATTGCTTCTTTGAAAATGAAAAAAGTACGTATTTTAATGAGTGCAGCACATATAGTACGGTGTTTCAAAGCTTTTTATCACCAACCATAAATGTTTTGCATAGCAACCTAGAGAATGCTCTCTTTTGTATGAGTCATAAGTTTTACAATGTAATGTCCTCATATGAACAATATGCAGGTATATCTGTGATCCAGAAACTTAGCATGATAAATCTTAGGTACACTGTCTTTTTATTGACTAGATAAGGGCTGTCTTTAATGTGATACTCGATTTTCTATCTGCAGAGTACTCCTTAAATAAGAGAAAGATGAGGGGAGCAGCAAAGATTGTAGATGGTTTTCTCTGTTAAATAACCCAGTGGTGCCACAGGTGTGGATAAGTGGACAGGCTCACAGGACAACTGAGGACAAATTAGAAAGTGTGGATCAAGATGATAGGCGCCCTGATGGCATATTAGGCCACTAACTGCAAGAGTAGCAATTTGAATCCACGAGCTATTCCTCTGCGGAAGAAAGATGCTGTCAGGCTGACCGTCTTGAAGATTTGGTCTCGAAAACCCACAGGGGCAGTTAGTTCTACTCTGTCTTGGAGGGTCTCTGTGAGACGGCATTGACTTACTGGCAGCGAGGTTGGTTTTTTGGTTGGGTTGACAATGATTCACGAGCTAGCGATTTGTCTTTTACCGCTACTTTCTTAAACCAAAAAGAGCATTATTGAAAGAGTAGTTTTTCTTCAGCAGGTGCACTGAATACGTTGGCTTTCTTCAGCTGTGTAGACCCTTAATGAAACCTCGAGAGCAAAGGAGTGTGTTACGTTCACTCATAGGAAGACTCTCGTGATACGGTTATTTTTGCATGACCTTGGGCCCTGCTGAATTTGGTTGGGGCTCTATTCTAATGAAAAGAAATTATGAAGCAAATGTTATTTAATTTTCCTTAAATTATGGCTTGATTTAATTGAAGTCACCTTAATTTAATTGAATATTGCTTTTTAAGTAATATTAGCTAAAGTTAGCATAAAATATCTAATAGAATCTCATTCCTCACTTAATTTTTCCTTAACGTTTATTCTAAAAAAGGTCAGGCATAAAGAAAAGTTTATAGACTAATTTATTGAATACTTTTACACCCTCCATCTATATTCACTAGTTGACATTTTGCCAGTTTGCATTATATTGCTTTTATGTGTGTATGTGATTTTATTGTTGCTAAGAATATACCCAGCAAAACATACTAATTCAATACTTTCTACATTTATAATTCAGTGCCATTGATTACATTCTTTTAGTTTTGTGACCATTCTTACGCTCCTTTTCTGAGTCATTCCTCCCTTATGAACATAAACTCACTCACTACCCTCAAAGGTTTGTCTAATCTTTAGAGTCACTATCATCAGTTGATCCCTTATAGACCTTTGGAAGGAGCGGAACACACTACCCAAAGCAGACATGTATTCTTTTAAAAAAAACTTTCAAGAGATATTTTTGGCTTAAGGTTTAAAGTTTATCCCAGGGTAATAGTTTTAGGGATTCAGCCACCTTCCCATGACTCCAGGAAAATATGGATTCCATGTGAATTTGAAATTCTAGCCTGCCATTTTCCCCCTTTTGATCAGAATTCTTCCCTTGGAATCTTTGATCAAGATGTTCAGTAATGATAGCCAGACACCATCCAGTTCATTTGGTCATATGGCGAAGAAGGTAGTTGTTCATGCTGGCAGTTAGCCACACCTGGCACTTCCTCCTCCTTTTCCTCACTCTCCTCCTCCCTCTGTTGCTCTAGGGGCGAATAGAGACCAAAAGTTGTGTGTTGGGTGGCCACTTGCAAGCTTTTAAGGCCCCAGCACTATAATGAATCCATAGATTCATAGAACAGAGCAGTAAACACATTATTAGACCAAATAGCTGGGATGTCCCTGAAACCTGCAAACCAAGAATCCAATTCCCATGGAGTACTTGGTTGGGTAATATGCATAAGGTGCTCGGGAAATATACTCAGTTCCCTCTCTGAGTCACAATAATTTTGCATCATGGTACTTCACTTCTAAATATTTTAGGATGTATTTCTTAAGACTAAGGGTCTAGTCCAACCTAGCCAAATGTCTAGTCCAACCTAGCTAAAATGTCATTTCCCATTTAGGAAATGTAACATTGATGTACTAAGTAATATCTCCTCTAGATCCCATTCCCACATTTCTGCAGATGACTTAGATAATGTTCTGTGTAGCTAGCTCATTATTGTTTAGTGTGGGACCCAGCCAGGCACTGATTGCATTGTTAGGTCATCTGTAGGATAAGTGTGTTACATGAGAAGATCCTCTTTCCTGACAACTCTTCACAATCGTTTCATTAGCTACTGTCCATTTTCTTAAACCGCTTGTTATGTTGGTGGGTGCCAAAAGGTGATTTTCTAATTCTCTCAGTTCTTCCACGTCTGTTAGCTCTCAGTCTTCTCTACAAAAAAAGTACCCCCACCTTTATCTTTACTATCATTATAGACGCCTAGATTTTCTATTTGAATGTTGATGGGCTTCTTGTCGCAATTCAGTAGATGTAAAGTGGTGGGTGCACTGATGACCATGGAACTCCTGCTGGGTTTTCTAATGGAATTTTGACGCACTCTATTTCAGGTTCTCTTTTATATTTCTCCAGTGAATAAATTGGTGGGGGCATTGATGACTGTGTTATCCCTTTTTCCAGGTAAGAGAGTAGCAATACTCTTTCTGTGGGTTAACTTGTACTGGCACTTTCAATGTAAAAGTTTTTTTTAATTATTATTTTATTGGGGGCTCATACAATTCTCATCACAATCCACACATACATCCACTGTGTCAAGCACATATGTACATTCGCTGCCCTCATCATTCTCAAAACATTTGCCCTCCACCTCAGCCCTTAATAGCAGTTGTTCATTTTCCTCCTCCCTCCTCACCCCCACTCCCTCATGAACCCTTCATAATTCACAACTTATTATAGTTTTGTCATAAGTTACACTGTCCGACGTCCCGTCCCGTCCCCCCCCCCCCAGGGAGGAGGCAATACCTAGATTCTTGTCATCGGTTCCCCCTTTCCACCCCACATTCCCTTCACCCTCCAGGCCTCGCCCCTTTCACCACTGGTCCTGAAGGAGTCATCTGTCCTGGATTCCCTGTGTTTCCGGTTCCTATCTGTACCAATGTACATCCTCTGGTCTAGCCAGATTTGTAAGGTAGAACTGGGATCATGATAGTGGGGGGGAGGAAGCATTTAAGAACTAGAGGAAAGTTATATGTTTCATCGTTGCTACCCTGTACCCTGATTGGCTCATCTCCTCCCCTCAACCCTTCAGCGAGGGGGGGTGTCCAGTTGCCTACCGATGGGCTTTGAGTGTCCACTCTTCAGGCTAACATTTCCATATTAATACTGACTTTTTCCTTTTGACAGTAGATTTCTATTTGACCATTTTGATACGTAAATTAAATGGTGGGCATGTGTAGGTTATTACAATTTTTATAGAAGACTCCAACTAATGTGAAACGGAATATACAGCTATTTCCTCCTGTGTTGCCATTATATGCCAAGCTCTTCTCCAATGTTGCATGTTTCAGGCATGATTGAGCATGGTCTTAGTGACTGTTCTCAGTACAGACCCCGCAAAAGTATGTCTGAAGATGCTGGGCTTCAGGAAACGAATCCTCCAGCAGATGCCTTTGTTCCCGGGTCTGTGCCTGACATGCCAAATAGCATCTCAGGAACTGAGAAGAAAACCATGGCGAGCACGCACGGAGGAGATGCTGTCACCAAGCCTGGAGAGCCTGTATTCCAAGTCGTCAGCGACAACAGCAAAGGCCTGGAACCTAAGAACAGCAATCAGTTTTTGAAGCTTCCTCCCCACCTTTCTCCGGAGTCCTCAGAAAGTGAGTGGGAGACTTTGGATCCAAGTGTTCTAGAGGACCCCAGCTTGAAAGAAAGGGAACAGTTGGGGTCAGAACAGACAAACTTATTTCCAAAGGACTCTGTATGCTCGGACAGTTCTCCAATTACTGTACAACCTCAAGCAAATACAGGGCAGCTGGTCCTGATACCAGGACTGATATCGGGTTTGGAAGAAGACCAGTACGGCATGCCATTGGCCATCTTCACAAAGGTAAAGTTACGCCACCTTTACTTACTGAGTACCATGTAGAATATGGCAAAATCAGAGTTTGACTTTTCATGTTAAACACATTTTCACAACTGAAAAATGCCCTTAAAAAAGTATACCATACTACATGCTTGATCATAATGCAGTATTTCAGAGTTTGGCATCTGTGAACATTAACTGGAAAAAAGCCAGCTCACTGCTATCAAGTTGATTCCAACTCACAGTGCTTGAGAGGACAGAATGAAATTTTTAGCTCATGTGGGTTTCCAAGACTGTCACCTTTAGAAATAGGTAGTCTCATCTTTCTTCTGCAGAGTGACTGGTGGACTCAAACTGCTGATTTTGTGGTTAGCGGTGTGATGTGTAACCCACTACACCACCAGGACCCTTTCTGTGACTGTAGTGTACAGCTTTTTTATTTGAGAGCCTTTTGTAACTTAGGAGATATGAGATCAGCTTTCAAAATGTTGGGTCTTTTTTTTTTTCTTTTAAAATATTTTACCGTGCTATTTTCAATTATTCTGATTTCTATTTGAAAGAAGGTGAATTGAAGACATCCAGATGTTTTTCATTGCATTTAATGATCTATATTAAAATACTAAATTCTAGAAGTGCAGTTTTAAAAGAAAAAAACCCTCAATATCTACTATAAATATTAAGACTTCATTTAAATATAGTTCCATGTTTTAGTTCATTTTGTCCTAGAAAGAAAATTTTAATTGCTTCATGAAAAAAAACATTCAAAATGTATTTTTAAATTTTAAAAATACTCATAACTTAATTACAGCATAGTGATTCAAATCAAATCTTTGATCCCAGATACTCTATCTCCATCTAGCCTTTCTCAGTGTACAAACAAGAATACTTTAAGATAGTGAGAGACTATTCAAGGTATATCTGGATGCTACATTGTTTTAGTGAACATTGAAGGAACAATAAAGGAGACTTGTTTCCTGACTCATTATCAAATGAATAAATGGAAACCGATTTGTACACAAAAATAAGAGTCCACCTGAAGGAGTCCCCAGCTCTCCAACTCTCTAGTCTAGTTTCTGGCGTTTGGAATTACTTTCCGAGCACGACAGCTCCTGCGTCGTTGGTAGCGAAGAGGCGGACTGTTTGAGTGTTGGAGATACCAAGTTCTGTAATAAGCTCAAACCTTTTCTAGAGCTGATTTAGGTGGTGTGTCAGGTGGAAATCTGACCAGGGTTACAGGCAACCGTGGAATATACTACTCATGAGGTGATGGGAAGGCAAATAACCCAAAGAGTAAGAAAATTAGAGAATAAATTGTACCCAGCGCTTTATACCAGCTCAGCCAGATTTATTCCTGGCCAACAAGCAGCCAAACCCACTGCCATCGAGTCAGTTCTGACTCATAGACACCTGAAACGAAACCTTTGTGGGAGCAGAAAGCATCGTTCTCATTTGGAGCAACTGGCGGTTGTGAACAGCTGTCTTTGTAGCGAGCAGTCTAATGTGTAACCCAGGACACCACCAGGGCTCCTTGAAGAAGCAGCAAGCCCAGGGGGAAAATGCTTTTTGACGCTCTGCTGGAAAGAATCTCCCTCTTAGAAAACAAGGGCAGCTTGCATTTGATCAGTACTTTGAGCAACACCGTATTCAGAGGCATCTGTGTTTCTTCAGTCTTACTTACTCACTGTCTAGCTCTCACACACGGGTGTGGCAGATGAAAATACCATGATTTAGGTCAGGGGCTCCTTAGTCCTCCATATGACATTCTCCCTTTGAAGCACTCTAAAGAGATCTTTTTCAGCAGATATGAACAAGGCAACCATTCATTTGATTTCCTCACTGCTGCTTCCTTGGGCATTGATTGTGAACAAAATTGTGGCAGCATTACTATTTTCTCTGCCTGTTGGTTCAGTTGTGAGGATTTTTTTTAAGGTTGAGTGTAAACTGTACTGATGGTTATAGTCTTTGATGTTGTCAGTGAGTGCTTCAAGCGTTCTTCACTTTCAGCAAGCAAAGTTCTGTCATGCATATCACTGGTTCTAATGAGCCCTCCTCTAATCTTCATGTAGTCCAATCTCTCAGGTTATTTGCTTAGCACACAGATTGAATACATAAAGCAAAAAGGATACAACCCAGGTGTATAGCTTTCCTGGTTGAAAACCGCTCCATATCCCCGTGTTTTGATCTATGTACAGGTTCCACATGAGCACAATTAGTGTTATGGAATGTCCTTCAGTTCCATAAAATGTTATAATCCACCCAATTAAATTCCTTTGTATAGTCTATAGAACATAGGAAGACATCTTTCCCAGGTATTCTCTGATTTTAGCAGAGAATATTTCTGTTTATTTCTATTTATTCTATTTCTGGACAGTAGATCAAAAAATTAAATAACTTTTGGTTTAAGGTTAAGTGATCATTAAAAGTACTGATGACAAATTTTTTTAAATCATTTTTTTGGGGGATCGTACAACTCTTACCACAATCCATACATCCATCCATTGTGTGATGGCAAATTTTTAAAGCTTTTTTGAGCTGCCACTTTTAAATCATTTTATGAATATGTAGTACTTTCACTTAGGTCAGTACTAAAAAAAACATTCCCAAACATCTGTAATGAAAAGCCCTCCCCTCCAGTCTAGCCCTTGCTACTCAACAGCCCCCTGTAGTGGCAGCCATTGTTATCTGTGTCTTGTGGTACTTTTTACATACATTTTGTCCCACATGAGATGGCATAGGATAACTTACAAAAAGTAGAATGGCAAATCAAAGGTATTTATGATTTTTAAGGGAATGTATGTTAACGTGTTTTAAATAGCTTTTAGATGGCTTTATTGTTTTGGGGGTTGGGGCGTGAGGGGTTTGATGTCTTGGGTTTTATTTTCGCTGGATACTGTTAATATACTTAGCCAAGAATCCCAGTGTTGCCAATAGACTTTTCATCCCTAACAGAATCAATTATGAAATGTGATGATGTGAGTGATTATATTATGGTCTCTAACTGCTATTGCAGTGGAACCATTTTATACTGATTGGAAGTTCTGTGGAAGAATTTTCTATCCCAATTAGGGTCTAGTTGTCCCAGGAAGACTGAAAGCATATTCAGTATTTTAATATCTGACGTTTGGGAGCAGGGAGGGAGAGGCCCGTTACTTCGGAATGTGTAACACACTAAGAGCAGAGACTGGGAGAGTGGACTGGGATGCTGATGAAGGGCAGGCCTCCTGGAGCAGGGCCCCTCTCTGTGCTAGTCACCTGCGGCACTGGTGGATTCAGGAGCCCCATCCTGATCGTGTCTAATGCTTACACATAGATTTATCTTGGTGCTTCTGTTAGAGTTTCATAAAGCAGATATTGTCAAGAATAATACATATGCAGGGAGGGAATTCTACTGAGTTATCAGGTTTATATTCCCACTGTGGAAGCCTTTCTTCCCACATGGAGTATTTAAAACCACCGGTTAGTCCAAAAGAGAGGCCTGGTAGTGCAGTGGGTGATGTGCTGGGCTGCTCACGGACAGATGCAGTGGTTCGGGCCCACCAGCTCTGCGCAGCAGAAAGATGAGGTCCTTGGAAGCCCTGTGCAGATGTCCACTCTGCCCTGTGGGGTGGCTGTGAGTCAGGGTGGACTGGATGGCAGTCCTGTTGTTTTGTTTCAGTGACAAGTCACTGTGGTAGAGACAGGAAAGAACCTGACGTCGTTACACGAGGAGGAGCGCCTCCTGCCTCCCACAGTCAGCAAGACGCGAGCCCAGATCACTACAGCGCAGTGTGCACAGAATGATGGAGAGTGGTGAAGGAAAGTATTGTAGAACTTGAGGCTGAAAGAGTCAGGGGCTCCCCAGTCTTTGTATACAGATTGCAGTACCTGGTGGATATGTGTTGGGGATGTTCAGAAATTCCCTGTATTCCCTGTTCTCCCACAGTGATTCCGTCTCAGGAAATGTGCTCCCTTTTATACCTCACTGCCTGCTGGGGGTGGGCAATGGAACTGTGCTTCTCAGGAAAGGGATCATTTGAAATACAAGTTAAACGGTTAATGCTGCATGACCGTTGGCCAGGCTATTTTTACCTATAACATTCAGCAGCATTTATCTGGAAATACTTTTGCATGACTTTGACAACAGGCTAATAAAACAAATGCTATGCAATGCTTTGCTCTTTTCCTAATTATACATTGGTGTGTCTGCCCAGATGCATGTATTTTAAAATGTTACTGAAAGAACTAACAGCTTCCTATTAAACAGCATACCATGGGCTTAGCTAATACTTCATTTCCTCAGTAAACAAGCCCACCACATTAGTTCCTGGGGAAGCTTGAACTGAAAACAAAGTGATCCAGTAAGACAGTCTTCGTGTTCAGCCACCTTGCCAAGAGTTGACCATTCATGGGAAGACTGTTGTTCACTGGCCTTTTTGCTATCACAGCGTAGGGTTCCCCTAGAACATCATTTCCGTGAATCAGACGTTAGCTGCATTAGGAAGGGGGCCAGGGGAGAAAGAAGGCAGATTGCTTGTTCTCCTGTTTCTAGACTTTCAGAGAGAGTGCATTCTGTCAAGATCCTAATATCTTCTATTACTCTTGTAATTCATAGGGATATCTCTGTCTGCCTTATATGGCACTGCAGCAGCATCATCTGCTCTCTGACGTGACCGTTCGGGGATTTGTTGCTGGAGCTACTAACATCCTTTTTCGACAACAGAAACATCTCAGTGATGCCATTGTGGAAGTATGTTTACATGCTTGTGTGGTGTGTGTGTGTGTGTGTGTGTGTGTGTGTGTGTGTGTGTGTGTGTGTGTGTGAGAGAGAGAGAGAGAGAGAGAGAGAGAGAGAGAGAGAGAGACATACTGCTGGTCCCTCTTTTCCTTTCCTAAATGTTATTGTGGTAATAACACTAATAATAATAATGCTAGGCATTCTGAGCACTTTATACAAAGGTAAGTCCAAAAGTATTGTTACGAGAATACCAGTTCGTACCGGCATGGGTTTGTTCCAAATCCAGCATGTTTAGACATGTTTCTGATCAGGGCAGTGGCTGCAGACACGTCCTCTCAGTAATACACTTGTCTTGGTCTCCTTAGGGTGCTTTCAAAAAAGATACAATCAAAGCAGTAGCTTCCAAGGGAATCAGCTGGGAAAGTGAAATCTGCTGGGAAAAGGCAGGGAGATCAGATCAGAAAGTTATCAGGGGTAATCTTGAGAGATTTTCTCCAAGGACACAGGACCATCAAGAGGGCTTACAGAAGTAGGAAGGAGTTTTCCGGAAATTGAGAACTACAGGGAACTTGCTGCACAGAGTCTCCTCTCAGCACGCTGCCCTGCTCGTTTTCCATGGTAGCCAGGGCTGTCCTGTGAGAGGTTTATTGGCAGACCTTCCCCTGTCCGCCGTACAACCTGACCTTGCTGCTTCGGTCTTCTTTTTGAAAAGAGTATTTCAAAGGACCATACGTGAGTCATCACAGCTGCTGCTTTCGTGTGCAAATCGAAGTGGGCAGCATCTTTGGGGTTAGCATGCTGAGAACACTGCCGTCAAAAATGGACAGGCCCACTCTGCCTTTCCTAAGGAAAGAAGCAGGAAGAAAATTATGCATGAAAACAAGTCATTTTCAACAGTGAACTAATAGACCACACGGACAGGATTCTCCATGAGACCAGAAGGACATGATTCCTGGGGAGAGTGGGAGGAAGATATGAAACAAACTGGAATTCATAAAGCCTGGCCTACTGACACACAGCAACTGAGATACAGGGTGCTTGGTCACCCTTAAGATCTGGAACCGAACTCAGAATTAGATATTGTATGTGTGTTTTCTGAAATCAAAATGAATGTTTTTAAACTAGGCACCCCCCCAAAAAATGTAAAAAACCCTAACTTTTGGGGATTCACCTTTTGCGAATGCTACTATTCATATTTTTGTATTTCCACCTGCAACATCCCAGTCAGTTGTTGGTCTGTAAAATGTGGCATGGATATCCACGCGAATGCCCAGACTCTGACTTCTACCTGGCTCCCCTCTAGGTAGAAGAAGCTGTGGTCCAGATCCACGATCCAGAACTCAGGAAGCTGCTTAACCCAACCACAGCAGACCTAAGGTTTGCAGACTACCTAGTGAGGCACGTGACCGAGAACCGGGATGACGTCTTCCTGGATGGCACAGGCTGGGAGGGCGGAGACGAGTGGATCCGGGCCCAGTTTGCCTTCTACGTCCATGCACTGCTGGCTGCCACCCTGCAGCTTGGTGAGAGAGCCGCCCACACAGGCAGCCGCCCTTTGTGCTCTCATGTTCGCGTTGTAGCACCTGTGTTTTGAATGGCGCAACAAGCACCTATTCTTTCACAGGGAAAACCGCCTGTGGTTACCCCAGACGGGGCCTGTCTGTGTTCCACTAGCCTAGAGGTTGGTGGTTTGACCCTTCTCACCCTCAGTGGTACCTCCGAAGACAGCCTGGCAGTCCGCATCTAGGAATTCTGCTGTTGAAAACCCTTTGAAGCAGTTGTATTTGGTGTACACAGGGTCCTGAGTCTGAATGATCCCTAGAGCAGCTAACAACAGAACTGCCCTGTCCACAGATAACCACTCCTGACATCTGGGGCCCTGTCTGTATCTAGGCACTGTTTATGCATCTGTGTTTTATTTTGTTAGTTCTACTGTGTACATGGTGGTACTTTTATCAAAGTGGATCCTAATAACCAAACTTATTTCCAATGAGTCAATTCCAACTCGTTTAAGACAAGAGTAGAACTGCCCCTGTGGGTTTCTGAGACTGTCACTCGTTACAGGAGTCGTAAGCTCCATCTTTCTCCCTCGGACCTGCTGGTGGTTTCAAAATGCTGACCTGGCTGTTAGCAGCCCAGCACTCAACCCATTGTGCCCCCAGGGCTTTTCCTGTCACCGATCTGCTCTGCAGACTCTCCCCCAAGTCACAGGAAAAAGTTAAAAACAGACTGAAAAAGAAAAGTAAAGCCCCTAATAAAATGATTATTTAAACAAAAAAGAAAAGTAAAATGAATTTTTAAAAAATGAATAAAGAAAAATGATTGAAATAAAATCATTGTTACTAAATGCTTGAAAACTATGTTTATGCCCCATTCTATGAAATGTTATTCCTTTCAACTGGTTAAAACAAAGAAGATGACAAAATAACAATTTATAAACTATGAAGGGCTCATGAAGGAAAGGGGAGCGGGGAGGGAGGGGAAAATGAGGCCCTAATGCGGGGGGCTTAAGTGGAGAGGAAATGTTTTGAGAATGATGTGGGCAATGAATGTACAGATGCGCTTTACACAGTTGATGTATGTATGGATTGTGATAAGAGTTGTATGAGCCCCTAATAAAATGATTAAAAAACAAACAAACAAGGTAAACTTTGAATTACCCATTGATTAAGTGTTTCCCGGAAGGAAGGGTGCTGGCATGATGTTGGGCGGTGTGTGTGTGTGTGTGTGTGTGTGTGTATGGGGGGGGGTCTGCAAAAGGAGATAGTTGTACTTTTTGTTAGAATATAGGCCAAAGTACAGAGTTTTCATTGTTGGAGGTTCTGGGTCATCTTTTTTTCTGACAAGGGGGCGGTAGGCCAGATAAGTTTGGGAGCTGTGGATTAAGCTTTGGATGAAACCATTGTTAGTGATGGGAAGCCTAGAATGCAGGCTGACACCTCCCTCCCTCTTTCCTTAGAAAAGGTATAAGGAGAGAAAGGAGGGCCCCTGCAGTGAGCTTGCCCATCTCGGTCGTTTCTCCCGGGCCGTTGGCAAATACTCAGTGGATGGTTTTCCTCACCCACCACTGCCCTCGCCTCCTTTTCTCAGGGTCGTTCGTCACGCGGTAAACGTAGAGTTGGGACCAGGTTTCTAGTCTCCTTGTTCGTGGGGGAAGGCTGAGCAGTGAGGCCTGTTTGTTAATGAGTCCTTAGGAAATCTGCTCTCTCTTCACCTAGTGCACATGAGACACCAAATTAAATCCTCTCTCCCAGAATCCGCATTCTAGAAAGAAAACTCCAGCACATGTGCAACTTCATGAATCATTAATGTGCCTTTTCAAAACAGTTGCCTAGGTCGTGCTGAGCAATAAACAGTAACAGCTAACTCTTGTGGGGAGCACCTAATGTGTGCCGAGGGACTGTCCGGAGCAGTCTATGTGATCTCACGCATGCCATCTGCACAAGAGTCCGGGAGTAGCCAACCTCTCTTTCCCTTTCACAGAAGAGAAAATGAGACCCAGAAGGGTCCCGATGCCTTGCTCCTCCATCTGGTTAGAGATTAAGCTGACTCAGCAGTTCAGAGAGGACACTGCCCGAGTCACGTGCTCTAAAGTGCACTGCCTTCTGCTGCAGACGGGCCCTGCTCCATTGATAGCAGCCTCTCTCGTGGCATGGAGTCAGTGGCCTTTGGGTTTTCTTCTTTCCCAGCCACAGCAGACCCTGCTGCACAGAGCAAGCAGTGCGCAGTCAGTCTACGAAGACGTCTCCAGACCTTGTCTCTTCTTCCAGGTGGGAGAGAGACTTTCTGAGGGGCTTCAAAAAGTTTGTGGGGAAATAGAACTAAAAGTTAATGGCATTTTCCCACAAACTGATTGAAGCCCTCTTGTGAACTGAAGCTTTCCCATGGTGTTAATAAAGTAGAAACACTTTAAATACTAAATATGAAAATAGCCATTATTAATTTAGGTTTTTTTACTGTGAAAAGGCCAGAAATTCAAGAATAAACGCCAGACCAGTGGCATGAAGTTCAAAGAAGATAAAATAGTGGCTAAAAGAAGCACTTCATATAGTTATTCCCACCCTCCAAAAAATTGAGATTTGTGAAAAGATAGATAGAATCCAATTTTCTTTTTGCATGAAGACCCACACCTGTTGCTGTCGGGTCAGTTTGACTCAGGGTGACAGTGCCTGTGTGCATATAGGGATACACTGGTACATTTACTCACTCTGAAGGCATTGTTCTTGTCGTCTACGTAATGTTCTGTTTATAGCCTCAGTAAGAACATAGAAGTATTTTGGAGTTATAAGGAACTTTAGAAAATACCTAGCTCGATCCTCTCATTTTCCACTTAGGAAAATTAAGTTCTGACTGAGTAAGGGACTTGCCAAAGGCCACGTAGCTCCTTAACAGGATTTCTGGAACTAGACCCAAGTTTCCTGACATCTGGTGGGCTGTCTCCCAAAATAAGCAGGGGGGGGCGCGGGGCGTGGGATAAATGTGTTCATCCTTTTGTGGTGTTAATCTCCGCACCCCCTAGCTGGCCCTCATCAAGCTCAATTTCTTTCCAATGTTTTCTTGGCAGATAACGAAAAGCTATTATCGGACTATGGCACGGCCTTTGTTACAGCGTGGAAGAATACACACAACTACAGGGTCTGGAACAGCAACAAGCACCCGGCACTTGCAGAGATAAACCCTAAGTAAGCCTATCTTCTGAGGCATTCAAGAGTCTGTAGCATGACCGGTTTCCTGGGTGTGCCCCACAGAAAGGCAGTGCTTAGTCTCGATAATAATGTGGCTCTCTTGTAAGAACTTCCTCCACCTCGCTGCACAAGGGTCCGTCTAGTTCCCCAAACGGAAGGCAAGGACTGGCCATCTTCAGGTGTTTGCAGGAGATGTGATTTAGAGATGATGCCAAGCTCATCGCTAAGACTGGAGTGCTATGGAACCCTTTCTCTGATTCCTAAAGCTTAGACAAGGCAGCCCACTAACTGCCCTCTGCGAGGAGGAGGAGGCGGCCACTGTGACCCCAAAATACAGCCTCCCAAGGATCACAGAGAAGGACCCCGTGATCTCCAGTTCTTTCCGCCCGTGACTCAGCAACCCAGAAAAGGGGTATTGTTGCATGTGCTTGTTCTGACCCACAAAGAGCAATTGGCAGTCAATTGAAAAACCATAAATAGCATTTGGATGTTTTCCTGACGAGCTGTAGATTGCGCCAGTCTTTTTCCTTCTGACAGACCCCCCAAGTACAAAATAAGAATTTGGATATTTAATAACCTAATTTCTCACAGTGTAACTTTGGTCAAGCCACCTTATTCTGATATGCATGCTGGTCCTGTCTCTCACACAACTCTCCTTTTTCATCTGGGTTCTATAATTCCATGCAGTGGATATAGTTGTTCAGTCAGACACCTTACAAAGTTCCTTTTAGGGTTGCTAATAAATGCCCAAAGGGCATGCCACTCCACTGTAAGCTTCAGCCTAAACGCACTCAGCTCCAGCTCCCAAGGTCAGTCACCCCGACTCCCTGAATCGACTTCCCCAGAGGCACCCGAGTCTCCATAAGCCAGCCTCCTGCCCCAAAGCGTTCAGCTTTGCCAGCTCTCAGACTTGGGGAGTCCACCACTCCGTCTCACCTTTCTGCTCCTGGTTCTGCCTCTGCTCTCTGTTGCTCCTCAGTTGTCAGAACTCTCTTCTGGGTCAAGGAGGTTCACTGCACAGGGATCGGGGGTGTCCAGAGGATGCATACAACTCCTGGCGTTTGGTGGGAGTTCCAGAGACTATGGCCAGAAGAGCCGCATTAAGTAATTTGATGTCCTGCAGATGCGTAAATTCCAAGTGCCTGCAAACAGAACACTGGAGACACTCCCAGAGCCTTTGCACGTGGACAGCAGGGAGCCACGAGTGCACAGAGAGGAGTTTGATGGCGAGGAGTTGGTGTTCACGCTTCTGTCACTGCACTGGCACATCTCTGGTCTCTGCCCCCTTTGCTGCTGTTCTGCTGTCAACTAGCAGGCAGTCCTGACGTGGCTGGACCCCGGCTCCTCGGGCAGGCCCCCACCACCTTGTACAGAGCCCCGGAACCGCCTCGGGGCCTCGCTCTATCCACAGCCCACTCCTCTCACAGGTTTCTGCCACTTGCGGTGCTGCTTTGCCAGTTCTTTCTGTTGAGTTTTCCAGTCTCTTCTCCTGGGACAAGGTGGCTGGATGAGGGCTTGTTCTTCGGCTGACCCATTCTCCAAAGAAGATGGCACTTTCCAGCCCAAGGGAAGCTGGGAAGCCCCTCCTGAGGCTTGGCATAGACAGGTTGTTGTGGGTGCATCCCCTTAGTCAGGTCAGCCCTCTTGGCTGCTCTCACTCATTGGGTGTGGGCCTATTCCCACAACCTGGACCCAAAGACCAGATCATCCACTGCAGAAGGCCTAAGTCCACGCAGCTCAGACAAGCACCCTTCCTCCCTGTTGTATAGTCCAAGGAGGAAAGTCAGCATAATGTGCTTTCAAACTGAGATGAAGACAGCTGTTTATAAGACCTGCAGTGTCTGCGGCTTCTCTAATGGAAAGTAGAGGTTTAGCTGAGCCATGCACAAATGGTTGCATGTCCAGTAGCAATTAATTGTTCCAAATGTGTCCAGGGTTCAGTCTAGACTTTGAAACTCTGGCTATCCTGGGGCGTTTTTGGTTTGTTTTTTAAATTGTGAAAATATGCACACCCAAACATTGACCCATACGACATCCACGTTGATCATTCAGCCGTGCTCATTATATTTGCCAGTGTTCCACCATTATCGCTCTCCTTTTCCAGAATATCTCCACCACCATTAACAAAAAACCCCACCCCAGACCCTTGATGGCCATTAATCATCTTGGATTTCGAGCTATCTGCTCATTTCTTACAAGGGTGATCACATGGTATTTGTCCTTTTGTGGCAGGCGTCTTTGACTCTGCATAATGGCGTGAGAGGATCAGAGAGCTTTTCACAACACGCTGCCTGGGCACTGCCCCAGACCACTTAAGTTGGGGTACTAGGGTAACACTAAACACCAGCCACCCCCTCAAAATAAGCAAACACAAACTTCTGTTTCACAGCTGAGGAAACTCGGGAACATTGGCACGGCCGCATCTGGGTCCCCGGGTGTGAAGGGCAGAGCTGTGCTCCAGGCTGTCACGTTGAGCACGGCCACAGCTGTGTGACCGCAGGCGGCTCCCCGGTGTTTCCCGGGCCACCCCTTTGCCCCGCTTTCTTGGTGGAGTGTTCACAGTCTAACTAAACTCAAACTCTGTTTTACAGCCATCCATTTCAAGGCCAGTACTCGGTGTCCGACATGAAGCTAAGGTTCTCTCAGTGAGTATGCAGGGGAAGGAGGGGTGGAACTCTGGTGTCTGAATGTGTGCCGTGTGTTTCCTTGCTAATTAGGAGTTGTTGTTCTCCACTTGTTAGACTGGTGCTTCAAATAGTAACCAAACGTGCACGGCAGTCTCGGGCTCAGCAGTGTGTGCATTTGGAAATGAAAACACTGCTGTCGCATAGAGAACGGTGTGAACGAATAGCAGAATCCGCCACTCCTGTTCTGGCGATGCACTCGCAGCACATCATGTCTTGTCGGGAGGAATTCGCCACCACCCACCCATCCTGACTTTTGGGCCCATTTTGAGTGTGCTTTTAATTTCCTGAAAATCCACACACTGAAAAAGTTGGTAAACTAATTTATCCATAACAAATTATGAGTAATTTAGCTTCTTTTCTCCATAATGCTCATTCAGGATGATTATAGAGTGGTTACTAGGATTTTACATTTGACTACAGCAGTGATTCCCAACCTTATTAATGCTGAGACCCTTTAATACAGTTTGGTTGAGGTGACGACCCCCCCTCCTCAACCATAAAATTATTTTCGTTGCTACTTCATAACTCTCATTTTGCTACTGTTATGAATCGGGCGACCCCTGTGAAAGGATTGTTCGACTCCCAAAGGTGTCGCCACCCACAGGTTGAGAACCGCTGGAGTAGAGGGAGTAAGTGTGTGTGTGTGTGTGTGTGTGTGTGTGTGTGTGTGTAGGTGTAGGTGGGCTTATGAAATATTTTTAACTTAACACTTTTTTGTACCTAACACTTCTTTCCTTTCTTCAGTTCTGTTCAGAGCAGCGAACGGGGCAAAAAATTTGGAAGTGTCATGGTCACAACCAGCCGGAATGTCGTGCAAACAGGAAAAGCTGTTGGTAAGGCATCCCTGTAGCGAGGAACAGGTTGAAATCATCACGTATTGATTTTGAGTATATTCACTATATAATTGATAAAAACATCAACTGGTAGAGCTCAAGGCCTTGCCTGGTGGTGCAGTGGTTTGAGCACCCCGCTGCTAACTAATAAGTCACCAGTTCAGCCCACCAGTGAGAAAGACCAGGCATACTGCTTCCTTGAGGACCCACAGCCATGGAAACCTTCTGAGCAGTTGCTTATGAGTAGGAATTTCACAGCAATGAGGTTTTGTTTTTTAAGTAGAAATTCTTGTATCCCATGATACAAAGTAGTTGAAAACTTTAAAATGAAATTTTTTATCGTATTCAAAAGTATTTGTTTGTAGCCTAAGATAATAGCAAACGAAATTCAAATTTTAAAAACAGTTAAAAAATACTGTGAACAACTTAATGCCAACAGATTTGGCAACTTAGATGAAAAGCTCAAATTCCAAATAGAAAATTTTAATAACTCTCTATCTGTTAAATCAAGTTTTAAAACCATATACCTTCCACACAAAAATATCTAAGCCCAGGTGACTTTACTAATGAATTGTAGCAAACATACAAGGAAGACATTATTCTAATATTGCACAGACTCTTTCAGAGACTAGTGGATGAGGACTACCGTTCAAATCATTTCATGAGGCCAGTGTTCCCCAAAGCCAGGCAAATGGTAGCACTTGTGCTCTTCACATATGCCATTCTTCCTGTGGACGACTTTGAAGTTTGTTCCACATCAAGTCATAAAGAAATATCTAAAGCACTGTCGCATTAATCCAAGTTACTCCCTGTTGCTTCAGATGCACCACTAGGGTACATTTTCCATCATTTGTTTTGGTAAACCTGTATCCACCTTCGACCTTAGCTGCTGAGAGAGGCTGTCAACTCTGACAACAGGCAGTTCTAACGCTCCTAGATTAGGTGGTCTCTTTGGAGGGCTCGTCCTAGCACTAACACTCTGTATACCGAGCAAGTGGCGAGCTAAAGGATGCGACAGGCTTTTATTTTAAAAGACAGTACATTTGGTATATTTTATTCTAAAACAATGGAATTTTTTTGTGTAAGTATTTTAATTTCACGTAGCAGTACGCATTTGGCTCATTTTGAATTCTTTTTCTTTTTTAATCATTTTATTGGGGACTCGGATAACTCTTAACACAATCCATCCATCGTGTCAAGCACATTTGTACTTTTGTTGCCATCATCATTCTCAAAACATTTTCTTTCTACTTGAGCCCCTGGTATCAGCTCATTTTTTTATCCCTCCTTCCCCACCCCCACCGCCACCCCCAACCCCCTCACAAACTCTCGATAATTTATAAATTATTATTATTATCTTGTCATGTCTTACACTGCCCACCGTCTCCCTTCACCCACTTTTCTGTTGTCCATCCCCCAGTGAGGGGTTATATGTATATCCTTGTAGTCAGTTCCACATTCTACCCCACCTTCCCTATCCCTCCTGGTATAGCTACTCTCATTATTGGTCCTGAGTGGTGTATCTATCCTGGATTCCCTGTGTTTCCAGTTCTTATCTGTACCAGTGTACATCCTCTGGTCTAGCCAGATTTGTAAGGTAGAATTAGGATCATAATAATGGGGGGGCGGGGGGAGAGGGGAAGAAAGCATTAAAGAACTAGAGGAAAGTTGTATGTTTCATCGTTGCTACACTGCACCCTGGCTGGCTCGTCTCCTCCCCACGACCCTTCTGTAAGGGGATGTCCAATTGTCTACAGATGGGCTTTGGGTCTCCACTCTGCACTCCCCCTCATTCACAATGATACTGTTTTTTGTTCTTTGATGCCTGATACCTGATCCCATCGACACCTAGTGATCACACAGGCTGGTGTGCTTCCATGTGGGCTTGTTTATCTTCAAGCCTTTAAGACCCCAGGTGCTATATCTTTTGATATCTGGGCACCATCAGCTTTCTTCACCTTTTCGCTTATGCACCCACTTTGTCTTCAGTGATTTTGTTGGGAGGTGAGCATCACGGAATGCCAGTTTAATAGAACAAAGTGTTCTTGCATTGAGGGAGTACTTGAGTGGAGGCCCATTGTCCATCTGCTACCTTAATACCAAACCTATAAATATATGCACATAGATATATTTCCCCATTGTCATACATAAATATATTTACATATGTACATGCCTGTATTTAGACCTCTATAAATGCCCTTTGCCTCTTAGTTCTTTCCTCTATTTCCTTTGACTTTCCTCTTGTCCCACTATAATGCTCAGCCTTCATTTGGGTTTCAGTAATTCCTCTCAGTTACATTGCCCTTGATCAAACACTACCAGGCCTCCTACACCCGCCACGTATTTTAGATCACTTGTTGTTCCCTTGCCCCTGTGTTTGTTAACATCCACTTCCTTTTCCCTGCTTCCCTTCTCCCATGTCTCCTCGAAATCATCAGTCCCGTTGTTTAATCCTCCAGCTTGTTTATCTCGCCTATCTTATCTAGATAGACCTGCAGAGATAATAATATGCACACAAAAACAAGACAGAGCAAAACAAAGCCACAAAAGAAAACAAAACAACAAAAACCCGACTATTTTTCATAGAAAGCTCCCACTTCGTTATAGTTGTATGTTGAGAGATTTTTAACGATGCATTTACTGATAATTCTAAAAAAGTTCTTCCCACTATCTTCCCAAAGCTTAATGGGATCATGTGATTCAACCTAAATCATCTTATGTTAGCATCAACTTTTTAAAACAGTTTTATTGGCATATAATTCATGTGCCATACAATTCAGTGGTTTAAATATGTTTCAAAGAGTTGTACAGTCAGCATCAACTTTTTTTTAAATCAGAAAGATTTTAATAGTTCAACATCAACTTTTAAGATAATGTTTTATAAAACAAAATAGACTTATGTCCCCTGAAATCTTCTTAATAAAAAAACCATAGTTTGGCCTAACTAGTCAAGGATGCCTGCCTTGAGCAGTGTGTTCATTGAAGAACTGCCTGTCTGAGCTCAAACTCAAAAGACTTGATGGAAGTCGGAGGGGCTGGGGGTTTCTGCTCATGGGGGAGGACCATTCAGAGAAGGGGCGTGAAACGGCATTACTTAAAGAACATAATTTGTGTCAGTCACTGAACTAGTGTTGACCTGGTGTATGTTCTGCTTTGTATCATCTCCACAAAACTAAATCATTAAAGAAATATTTGTAAAGACCAGAGACAGGTGGAGCTTGCTGACCATGAGGGGCTTCAAAAAGTTTGTGGAAACCCCTATGATCTTTCCATCTTGTGTTTTGAAGCCTCCTGGTAGATTTGTGTTTAGGACAGCAGTGTCAGGGCAGAAGCACATTATCCTTGAACACGGTCCTGTGTCACCGTCGTCTTGTATGGGTTCCGAGAGTGTCTGGCGCTTGTCTCGAGCTCTCCAAGCAGTTCTGACGCTCAGCCAGCGTTGAGCACCAGGGCCCTCTCTTGCGCTGTGGGGGAGACAGCAGTGTGATGGAGAGGAGGCATTTATGCCAAGAAATAATCCACTTTCTTCTAGGAGGTGCCCCATGGGAAAGCATTGTTTCAAAGTTGGCAATTCAGTCGCCAGTTGAATTGTGGGGAGCGTACTGCTGTGTCGGGTGAATTCACTCTCATTACTTAGCACGGGTCTTTCCCTGTGTCTTCACAACGGTGAGCGGTTTCCCTTTTGTTTTCCCTGCTTCTCCATCTAGGCCAGTCGGTGGGAGGAGCTTTCTCCAGCGCAAAGACGGCCATGTCCTCCTGGCTTTCCACTTTCACTGCCTCTGTTCCGCAGAGCCTCACGGAGCCACCCAACGGGAAGCCCTGAGCGCAGCGTCCCCAGGCTGCTGTTGCCCTCCCAGCTCTCAGTGTCCCTGTCTGTCCACCGCACCCCGTCTGCTCTTTGGCACCAGCCACGAGCCCATGGTAGGGGACCGAGCTGTCCACCTGTGCAAGCGCACGGCTGCCCTCTGCCCACGTGACTGTCAGAGCGCTGGAAAAGGAACTCAGCCATTGCAGGGAAGGTCTCCAGGCTGGGGTTTAAATTGACGACTCATTTTACCCTAAGCCTGATTAAAACACACGTGGAAATGACCCTGTAATGAATTTGGAGTTCTGACTTCGTATGTTGGTTTACTTTAGATGAATTTTTAACTTCTGTACCTTTTGTTCTATTTTGCTATTTGAATATTCAAGTGGTCACTGTAATTTATATTTGCTGAAATTAAGTTATGTAACTATTTTAATTTCTCTAAAGTGAACCCTAAAAGTGCTTATAAAGTTAAGGGACCACCGAGCCCAGCCCTCTGTTATTCTGCTGAGTTACCTAATGGTTTGTTTGCTTGCTCCTCACAAACCCACGTATCCATTCCCTCCCTCCCAGAAACATGGAAGTCGGAGGCAGTAGTTCTGAAGTTTTTAACTTGTTCTTTCCAAATCCTTAAAAACCTTCCTATGCGGCGCGGCACCCAGGAACTTCACTCGCTTTCTCTCTTGCCCTAATTGTGCATGTAGGTGTGCAGAGAAACACATGTGACGATTGTACTGGTGTTCACGCCATTTAACACCAAGGTGTAACTCGGGCAATATTATACGAGACTATGTGTTCCTCTTTGTCAATGCTGGTAATTTCACAATCCTTGACAAGCATTTTTAAATCCAAAGTTTGTGCCTTCTATTTCTTTCTTTGAATAGCTCTCCATTGGGTTTTTACAGGTTTTCCCACAGGCCTGATCTTCATAACACTTTTCCAGGCACGTGGCTTTCCTGCTTCCCGGACTGAAAGTCCTCTGTATTCAATCCCCCTCCTTTGCAAAGTCACTGTAAAAGCAAAGCAAGACGATCCACAAGTAGTAAACAGAAATCCCACCTTCGCTCGAAGTTAGAGAAGCAAGAGCAAAGGGAAGGAAAACTACCGTCCGCCGATGGTCTTCCACAGCCGGGCCTGTGAGCTGTGCACTGAGCGCTGGCTTTGGATGGACGTTCTCAGGGAGTCCTTGTGGAGGACAGGCTGCCTTCTCGGTAACAAGGGTACTTGGAGCACTCCGTGTGAGTGCTGCAGAGCCCGGGAACACAGGCTCTCGTGAGGAAGGACACTGACGGTGTCTGTCTCTCCTGTACGAAGCAGATCCCGACATCGTCTAATCTCCCTAGCATTTCCCCTCTGTGCTTTCACACAGCACCACATCCTTCCCTAGTGCGTGCCAGCTCAAGAACTCAGTGATGCCAAGTGAGCGGACGGAATGTGAGCGCTCCAGTCACTCCACCTTTGCTAGGAAAGGTCACCTTCTCAGGAAGTCCTGTTTGAAGAGGAGAAAATATAGCAAACGAGACCTGCCCTCCACCGGTGTTGCACAGAATTCACGAGGCCGCGCCGTTAGTCGGCGTGTGTGGGAGTGTATCCGTGTTCTTCGGGCGAGGAGCGCCGTGTGCCGTTCCTTTATGTGGCTGTCTGCCTGAGTCAGGCCGCCCAGCCCACGCTTTGAAACCCCACTGAAATAAAAATAATGACATGAAATTTAGATGTTTTAGTACCACTAGTTCTCCATTTGAAATAAACACATTTTTCCACTAATATTTCTAGTGAAGAGTTCACCTCTTAAAGTGATCCTTTAACTTACTTCTAAGATAAAATGAGTCTCTTGGAAGAGAAACCTTTGTTCATAGAAACGGCAAAAAGACCGTACCTGTGTTTCCTTCAGGTTCTAGGCAATGTTGGGTGTTTTCAGGGATGGTAGGTCATTACATTGTTGGCAAGAGCCCCAGGGCAGCCAGCACAGAAGCCTGGAAGCCTGGTCCTTTTCCTGCGAGCCGGCCCCAGACCCAGTGGTTTTCCCTCCAAGCACTGGCTTTGTGAGTTGTGTATTCAGTGCCCCTCTGGCCCGTGTCCTGGCTGTATCACTGGGAGAGGTATGTGACCTGGTGGCCACACTTGGTTCCAGTGCTTTCCAAGTCTTTTTAGTATTTAAGAACTGAGTATTTGTAAACAGGCCTGAGAGAGGTAGGGCCATCCGGCCTTTCTCAGGTGTGCCAGGCACAAAGACTGTGTCTGTACCTTGATGGTGACCTCAAGTCTGTCCAGGTGACTTAAAAATGGAATTGGGGGAAGTCCATGGTTTACTCCAATGTCCAGTAGGCCCTGAAGTGGCAGTGGACCAGGTAAGGAAAAGAGAAGCAACACTAACCGGCCATCCTGGGCTGGGTGAATAGAAAACATGGCTCATCGGATGAAGGCATCACTTTATTTTGCATATGTGTTTAGCTTATGTAACCAGTGTGACTCGTCTCCCCAAAGGCCAATAGTGATCAACTTGGGCCCAGCGGCTTGAAAAAAACTCCCATCTACTTTTTGTTTTAAGAAACACAGCAGCAACAGTCTTTGTTGGCAAGTCAGAATATATGATGTGACTTCTGCAGCCTTATCTTACATTCCAAGTTCTCTGTTAAGCATTTAAAGTTGTTTAGAAAGTTGAAGGGAAAGCAGATGAAGGGAAGGAGCAGAGAAATGAAACATTGCCAGGCTAAGGAACAAAGTCCCTAAGATTGAATTACAATATCTTGAGAGCGGTATTTAATACCCGCTAAAGGTTAGGTAAGAATTAGAAAGGTGTCAGAATTTTAATCTGTAAGTTTTCGGTTTTTAATTAAAGGTATAAGCATTTTCTCCTTGGCAGGCAGATTTTATTTGATATTGTCTAGAAAAACGTTTTGTGTAAGTTACAGCCAGTGGTACTTTTCCCTCCAGAACTGGTGACAAGTTTGGGAACTCTCTGCTCTGTATGGGCCAGTGGACGGCCTGGTTCTGAACCATGAGGACCCTAGTCCTCTTGTCCGAGAGTTGACTTAGACTCTTGGAATGTACCACCATTTTCAGCCCCCATCCTGCTCCTCCTGTCACGAGGGCACTGGCATCCCTGGCTTTCCCACACAGTCCCTCGGTAGCCTGTAAGCGCGGTGGAGAGCACAATGCTCAGTTCCAGAAGATGAGCACCAGTCCCTGTAGTGCAATGTGCTGCTGGGAGTTTTCTCATCCCCAGGACTGCAGAACCTTAGAACCACTGTTTCATAGTTTCAAACATTCCATCAGTAATTGTTAGGAACAAAGCAAAGGAGTGAAGATCCTTAATCTTTTCATCTGTCTAAATAATAACTTTGTACACATGATTTCCTGCTCTCCTTAGAAGGAACAAACCCCCTTGCTGGAAACTCTCAGAGGATGGTGCATGTCTAAGGGATCAGATATATTTTGTAAAACTCTAGCATTTGTATTCTGTGCTACTTTGAAGTTTACCTTTTTACTTACATTTAACTAAAGATATAGAAGTTATATATTTAAATCATGTAAATGGGACACAATTTAGGGTTCGTTTGGTTTTTTCCAATGTTATTTTTTGCATCAGCTTCTCAAACACACATGGTATGCTGCTTAAGTGTGTGTGTGTGTGTCCCCGTGCGCACGCACACGCACAAATGTGCGTGCAATATACACATTGTGGACATTAAAGCCAGGTACTGAGCCAGAAAAGGTTAATTGAAGTTTTCAAAAAAGCTGCTGTGTTTAGAATGTTTGTTTTTTGTTTATTTAATAGTAATTACTTATAGCTGGAAAATGGGATCAAGACTTTTGTGTTTCCAGCTCCTTGGTCATTTATTCCTAAATTTAGGAAGTACTTGATTAAAGAGTTGGTGAAGGCATTTAGTGGTTACAAAAATAGTTTAGATATTTGCGGTGAAACCCTTTCTAAGAAGGTTTCCTAAGGAAGTTTAGTTTGCAGCACATGATTTGATCAGAAAAGTAATTTCCCTTTGCTGAAGTAGTTTTATAATTTGTACTAGTAATTCGTTTCTTTTGTTGTTTGTTTTTTAAGAAAAAAATGTTAAAATATAAATCACGGCTAATCATACTGAATTGTAAAACTTCTACTGTATTTTAAGGGGGAGAAAATGAGAATAAAATTATCCTGTTTGTCCTGCATATTGTTGTCATCGCCTTGTCTCTGTCGCAGAACTTGGCAGATGGCCTGTGTGGTTTCTGCCCCTTTCAGAGTTGGGCAGTGGTACCAGCTTCATTGATCAAGCAGTCAGCTTAATAAAGCTGCATGTACAAGGACCAGCCCTCCTCACATCTCTCATTCTGGCCTTGCTTACAGTGCAGTATCGTGGCTTCTACGGTGGCGGCCCCTTCAGGAAGAATTACTGTGGGTGTGTGAGCCCCTCGGCCTCTGTGGACTGCTAAGTGTACAGCCCTGCACAAAGTGCACACACAGCTCGGTCCTGTACCTCAGCACATGCCTCATGGACAGGCACTTCCAGGGCACAGGATGTCGTCCCGAGCAGCCCATTTTCCCACATGCACTGGTGCAGTGAGTCAGTGCTTACCGGGGACTGATAATCGAAAAGCAGAGACTCGCAGAGAACGGTGTTAATAATTGCAGTCTGACGTGCAGCAGGCAAAGAGCAGGTGTAGCCGAAGTGCTTCAACAGATGAACGAGCAAACAATGTGGCGCACACATAGTAGGCTACATAAATACGGTGGGGGACACGCAGCCAGAGAGAAATGGAATTCTGATGCAGCTACAGAGCAGATGCACCTTGGAAATGGTACTTGAGGGAAGGAAGTCAGACAAAAGAAATATTGTATAGAATGTTTATCAAATTTCTAGAGTAGGCAAATGTATATAAAGAAATGCATTCTGATGCATGCTACAGAGCAAATGTACCTTGGAAATGTTACTTGGAAATAAGTCAAAAGAAATATTGTATAGAACGTTTATCAAATTTCTAGAGTAGGCAAATGTACAAAGAGCAAAGTTTAGTCGTGATTACCTAGAAATGAGGGAACAGGGACAGTCACTGCCTCGGGGGTACCGGGCTTCCAATTTTATAAAACAAGCCCACTGTCATTGGTCAGATCTAGCTCATAGCACTTCCCCTTATGATTAGAATTTCTTGTCTCATCGATTAACATTTATATATCTCAAGGTCATGAGGCTATTCCCTGAAAGTTTTTTAGTTGTTGCTCTACACAATGTGGATTTTATTCATTTTTTTAAATGATGTAAAATAGGGATATAATGTCCTTCATCCATATAAAGTTTTGCCACATTTAGATACCATATATACTCGAGTATAAGCCAACCTGAATATCAGCCGAGACACCTAATTTTACCACAAAAACTGCATTAAAAATGTACTGAAAACTTGGCTTATACACGAGTATATACGGTAAGTAAGAAGTGTCTCTAAACTACCCTCCCTCATCGTTAGCACTTCACAGGACATTTTAATACCAGAATATGGGAAGAGGATAGATTCTGAATAATAGGCTTTTAAATCAACTATTTGAGTTGCATTAATGTAATTTGGCTATATGACTTTTTTCCATATGCTACTAGACCGTACAAATTTAGCTTTTTGTCTGGTTTATGGAGATGGGTGAAGGAACAAACATTTTTTGTATGATCTAAAGCCCAACAATCAATTTGCAGGTATCTCCAGAATGACCTTGTCGGCCGCACCACTGGCCCCCAGAGACTGCACTTCGCCCACCTTCCACTAACCTGCACTAGAGAACCCTCCTAGCGCTCGCCCACCTTCCTCTCCTCACCTTTGTCTCCCTCACCCTGCGTCTGAAGCCCAGCCTTCTCCCAGCCACAGCAGAAAGATGAGGTTTCCTACTCCGGTCAATAACTCAAGCTTCAGAAACCCACAGGGGTGGTTCTGTTAGAAGTCAGAATCGAGTCAATGGCCGGCCATGAGGTTGGTTTTTTTGGTTTCTCACCCACCAAGTGTGAGTGCCTCTGGTATGGTACGTGAGGCAGCGGAGAGAGACTGACCCTCTTGGACCGTTGGCTCAGCAGAGAGTGATGAAGTACAAAGTGCTGCAGTGAGCAGGGTCTGAGAGGATGAGAGTCTGCTGGGAACCTCAGTTGAGGCCCAGTGACAGCGTGAGAGGGAGGCCTGAGGCGCAGGTGGTGGAGAGGTAAAACGCTGGGGGCTGTGTGGCTTTGGGGAACCCAGTGTTCACTGATGTGGCTGGAAGTGACTGAGAGTCTCAGGCAGGAGATGAGGCAGGAAAAGGAAGGCCTGGTCCCAAGGAGAACCTGGTCTAAAAGGCAGCAAGAGAACTTTGAAGGGTTTCTTGCAAGCAAGGGGCTGATTCGGTGCTGCGGTTTAGGAAATGCTCATTCAGGAGAGGGACGCCAACCACATATTCAATTTGCCCTCAACTCTAGATTCACGATGTTTCCCACTGGCCGCCTCTGACCTCATGGTCACAGACCCAACTTCACAGCCTTCCACCCACTGAAGTCTCATTCACCCCACATCTAAGCCTTGTTTTGTTGGGGGACATGTTTTCACTTCGGTAGTTTTTACATTGATTGTTTTCATTTTGCTTTGTTTTTACTTTTTATTGTGATTTAGGTGATGAAGGTTGACAGAGCAGATCATAGGTTTATACACATTTTGTTTCAACTCCTGCATTTCAATCCCCCCAGTGAATTACCACCTACCCCACTTCCAGTGTTTGCTACTTCCAAACCTCCTCCTGCCCTAACCCTCCGTCCTTGGTGTATACGCCCTCTTGATCTGAAGTGGGTGGTTATACCATACGAGTGAGCCCACTTCCACACCTAAAGGGTGTCTGAGGGCCATAGTCTTGGAGGTTCCACTAGTCTCTAGGCAATCAATAAGCTCGGTTTCTTGTATGTTCCACATTTCCCTCCTACTCTCTCCAGACATTCCAATGTGATCTTTTTCAGAGTAGATGGTCTTGGTAGCCAGGCACCATCTAGTTCTTCTGGTCTCAGGCTGTTGATCCCTTTGTTCATTGCACTAATTGTCTCCATGTGTTACACATTTTCATCACTCTTCTTTCCTCCAGACAGAGACCAATGTTTGCACCTTAGCTGGTAACTCATAAGTTTTAAAGGCTCCAGTTGAATAGACTAGCTTTTAACACCCAAGAACAAATCTCTCATGGCATGACCGTCAGGCTAGTAACCTTGAGAACACGTGTTCTCCTTTGATTTCTAGTTAGCGTGAGCTGTTAATGAAAAGGAAATATGAAGTGACTGTGGGTAGTGCAGGAGGTCAGTGCAACATCTGTGAAAGTCACTCTCTGGCAAAGTGGAGACCCAAGAGATATGTGTTGATGTGTTGAAACAGAGAAAACTCCCCTTTTCTGCATAAATTTGACAAGCAGGAAGGGAGTCGTTTGTATACTCAAAAAGTCCATCTGTGGCTAACATCTGGATTTTCACTTATATTCCATCCAGTCCGTGGAACTTTTCTTTCCTGATAAACTTTACCAGATGGACCATGTGCCTGCTCTGAGGAATGAGGAGGTCAAAGAAGGACAAAGACTTTGAAAAGTAGCCTTTCCACCTGCCTCTTCCCAGCTCTGCGCTAGAAAACAGCCTCTGCAGCACTTCCTCGAAACCAGAGACAAGTTACACCGTCCATGGCTACCATGATCCTGAATTGGGTCTTTGTACAAGACCGTCCACTGCGAAACCAAAGCCTCTGTGCCCTCAATATGCCGTTCACCTTCACTAAATGCCTTCAAAATGGAAATTCCCAGGTCAAGCCTTCACACATGAAGAGGAGGATTTTTTTACATATTATTTACTTTACAATCATTTGAGTGTATTTTTTCCATGTGATTGGGCCCTCGTCCTGAGACTCCAAATTTTAAAAATGTGTGAGTGCCATTTGTTCTGTACCTTTGAGCACCTTACAGAAGTATCTGTTGGAGTCTTTTCTTCTTGAAAATAAACTGTTACTAGTCACTCCTCTGGATCTCTGGTGGCGTAGTGGTTAGGAGTTGGGCTGCTAACCATAAAGTCAGCCGTTCGAAACCACCAGTCACTGCAGGAGAAAGATGACACTTTCTACTTCCATAAAGAGTTACAGTCTCAGAAACCCACAGGGGCAGTTCTA